CTCTCTCTCTCTCTCTCTCTCTCTCTCTCTCTCTCTCTCTCTCTCTCTCCCTTTCTCTCTCCCTCTCTCCCTCCCTCTCTCTCTTCCTTTTTAAATTACTGTCTTTCTTATGCAGCATCTGTTCCTCCATGTCTGAAACAAAAGCCTTTTCCAAAGTGTGTTTCTGTATTCTGGGACCACCAGCCCTTCACTTTCTTAGCCATCTTGCTTACTCAGCTCATAACACCACATCGAATCTGGACAAAGGGAGGCACCTGGTGGTCCTGCTGCTTTCCTAGTGTCACATGCTCCTTCCTGAATGCTCAATTTGGGTCTGCTTTTCAATAGCACATATGGGACCAAAGAATCTCTCTCTCCTGGTTCTGCTCGCCCAGTCCTTTCTCTTCCTCCATGTTTAATCAGCCCTGTTGACAGTGTCTCCTGGGGCTTTCTTATAGCTTCTCTTGGAATCTCAAGATATGAATAATTTCCATCATTATGGAGGTTTGGGCAGAGTGACTGGTTTAGGCTCTGCATAGCTGTGGGAGCCACACCAGCTTTTTTTTTTTCTCTAGGTTATCTACAGCCGTGGGGTCAGAAACAGGAGCTCAACAGACCCAGTTAGACTCTGAGGAAGCTTCCTGCTTACTCAGGGAAGCCCAGAGCATCTGGCATTCAACCACATCCATGCTCATATAAGTCTTTGGCTTTGCGGATAACTGACCCCAAGGTACTATTTCTTTAAATAAAGTTGAGCAGATGCGTCTGCATTTGGTGTTTTCAGGAACTGCAAGTTACAAGATCACATAGCAATTGTATTTTTAGCTTTACCTTTCACATTCAGCAGTTATTCTTGAAACCAGTTAAAACAACAACGGACCTTGCAGAAAATGATTTACCCATCACACTTGGTACAAGCAGGAGCACTACGGCCTAAAGTCACGAAGTACTAGCGCAAAACCAATCTTCCTCAGAAGACGTAATAAGAATGATAGCATGTGCGTTTTTACAAAGGCCTCAAAACCTTTTCACACATATGGTCTCATTTTATATCCTTGCCATGAAGATGGTCTGGGACCCCAAGAGATGTAGGCACGCTTAACTAATTTAACACATTGCACTGCAGGCTTCGTGAAGAGTCTGTCAAATACATTAAGCAGCTTTCAGTGAGGTTCAGAAATGAGGTCCTTGTGCTACACTGGAAGCAGCTGAGGGCTGGAATTGCAAAGTCACTGTTCCCCAAGATGGGCTAGTCATTCTGCTGGCACTGCCCAGTATGAGTTTTCACAGTCAGAGATTTTGTTTACATACAGCTGTCCCCCATATCTCACCCTGAGCAAGAGGGACCAACTTCCGGTCACCCCACTCACTCTCAGCTGTGACGGGGTCTGGCTGATAAATAGAGGCAGTCAAGTGAAGAAAGAGGCTGCGGCAAGCTGGGGTTTGCCAGGTCTAGGTATCTCCAGGTATGTGAGCCTGTCAGTGGGTATCTGCCCTGCTTTCCTTGGGTGAGAAGCTCGAGTTTCTATACATCAATAAATAAAAAGGCAGAAGAATTAACCACTCCGTCACAGACGGCAGAAAAAAGCTTTCTGTGCATCTGACTATTCCCTTAAGAGCCCGTTTTCTTTTCATCCCAGGGATGCTATCAAGCAAAACGTGGTTCAATACTGGCATCCTGTGGCCAGAGGAATTCATCAGCTCTCTGAAAAATCTCCCGTCCTCAGGTCCGGAACCTTCCCTGGCTATGTTACTGAGCAGCCTTGCAGCATTTCCTGAATTCTATTCGGTTGCCTAGTGTTTTTTATGGACGCCTAGGTGAGATATGTTTTGATAAACTATCATTTCACAGGGCTAATCTGCTCGTGCATATTAGGGTGAAAGTACACGGTAATATAAAGGCTAAGGAACGTTGCCCAGCGAGACATTCTGGTTTAAATCACTGAACAAACTGCTCCCAGCAGAGGCGCCCTGGCCGCCAAGTTCACAGACTTTGTCTCTACAACAAGGAGATGGCAGAGGGAAGAGGTGAGGCGGTGGTTCAGGGCTCTGCTGCTTTGAGCGTCTGTGTGTGTTTTTTGTTTTAGCCGAAGGCTAGGAAAATACTTGCTACTGCAGCAATAGCTACTATGATTTTTTTTATTATTATTATTTTACTACAAGAATGCTGCCTAAGAGGAAAATCAAATAAAATTTCGTAGGATTGCTGCTTTTTGCTACTCACTTTCAAAGTGGCTATAAAGGGCGACAATGATCACAGTTTAAAGGCATGGTCGCCACACTCCGTGCTAAGACTGAGTGGTGGTTTTGAGAACCAAATAACCGTATGGGACTCCTACCTCACTGCTACTTTCACAAAAGGCTAACACTAAATCTGGAGTCCAAGGAGACATTCAAAGCGTCATTAGAGACAGAAAAATAACCCCAAACTTCAAAATTACACAAGCAGGGAAATACATCAAAGAAGAACCAAGCATGGGAAGTGCTCATAGGTAGGCGCTGACAAAGAAATGGTACCGGGTATGTACATGTTGGCAAAAGGAAAGGAGTTTTACAGGCGGCTGACTACATACAGGAGGAACAAAATGCCTACTAAGTGGGAGAAAGCAGACATCTGTTCCTTCGTCATGCTCCCTTCTCCACAAGGTCCCACTCTAGGACCGCCAGCATATCATCCTAAATTCTGTTGGTTTCCCATGGTGCCCAGGGGTTTAACCCTTGCTAGCCTGGACCTGAGATAGATGCAGATCTCACACGGTGAGCGTTAATCTGTCCCAAACATTGGTAATGAGAAAAGCAATCCCAACGGTAAATATTGTTTAATATCACTTTCTTTTTTCAGAATTGTATTGCCTACAACCAAGAAAACATAACTAAAAATATTCTACAGAAAACTAATGTGATCTAACAAGACACAGAGATTAAAATAGCCTGCTAGGCAGCCAGAGTGCGGTGTGAGAGAAAGCCTCACTTTTATAGTCGCGCTTCTGTGGGGAATAGTGTTGCCAGCGAGAAAACAAAATCCGGTACAAATAGTATGTCTAAGGTCTAAAGATACCAAATGCCAATTAAAAGCTAATACAGAGCAGTGGTAGCTAAACTCCATTTTAAATGACTGGCTTCTGAATGAGTTTGTGTAACACACTGGAACTTCCATATGTACACCGAGATTTGTTTTATTTTTTATTACCAGACATCTCCCCGGATTTATGTACTGAACTTTCAAAAAATTAATTATAGCAAAGGAAATAAATTAAAATGAATGAAAACAAAGGCTGTTTTCTAAAGTCACCAAACTCCCCAGCAAGAACATATCTGCTTCCCTGGCTCTATTTTTTACCTCTCCCTGCCCCCCCCCAACCCCAGGCACCCAATCGAGAAAGATCACGAACTTTGAAGTCAGCGGATGTGGATTCAACTGCTACTCCAATGATTTAAAATCTGTGCACTCAACAATATAGTCTCCCCCTTCCTGGGTTCCGGTTCCCCCTCTGGCTATAGGAATAATACCCCCTCCCACACAGACCTCGCAGGGGACTGAAAGAGCGACGTGAGGAGAAGGGCTCACTCTGCAGAGGACCGCTCAGAGGGCTGGGCTTTCAACGGAGGCTGTTCCTAGGCTCGCTCCCTACTACTGATCTTCTAGATTGTCTCCTCCCCAGTTTACCTGGTTGCCAAGCCCTGTGGGTTTTGCTTCTTTAGTATCTCTCACTTTCTCTGGGACCTGCTGACACTGCCTGTGTTCTGACCCTCTTCAATTTTCGCCAGGATGACTGCGGTAACCAACAACCTCTATTCTGTCTTCAGCCTTGATGTCTCATTGTGTCCAGGATGATTTTTTCTAAAATACAAAACTGCCCGAATTTGAATTCTAGCTCTTCTACTTAATAGCTGTATGACTTGGAACAAGTTATGGGGATTCTCCCATGCTATAACTCAAAATCTATAAAATGGCGGTAATAATTTTCCTTCCTACCTCAGAAGATTGATGTAAAGATTAAAGGAGGTCCTGTACGTGCTAACACACAGAAATCAGACAATAAATGTGAGCTGTTATTCTTCCTTATTCCTGCAGGTCTTACGGACCCCTCTGTGCCTCACTAGGCCTACTAAATAGGGTAGCGTCACAGTCATAACATGTAAGACCTGTGCAGGTCTCTGCCTAATCCCTGCTAAATCTCATATCACTTATCAACTAGTATGTTATGATACAGGATCACTAAACTGCATTCAACCCAGAAAAAAAAATAATTAGGTTAGTAAAAGATTCAGAAAAGCAATTAGGCCATTTACAGAACTGCTAATAGAATTCTACCCAAGAAAGCTGTTCTCCTAAGAAGCAACTAGAACGGCCCAACTTAAAACTACCCCAAAAGGATCCAGTGCCTGTACCCTAAACATCCGTCCTGCCTTTCCTTCTTCCAGTTCCCATGAAAATGCAATAATGTATTCGAACTAGCAATTGCCCCACTTATATTTTTAAACTTTAAGATGTGCATGTTATTCATGTACACATACATGATGAGTTTTCTACAACATGGTCTCAGAAGGTCTGGAAACTGCTGAAAAGACTTACCTGACATTCGTCTGAACCACTTGGGTTTCTCGTCCCATATAATAAACAGATAGTATGCAGGGACCCCAGTCAGCGTGATGACGAAGCCAATCCCCGTACTAAATGGGTCCGAATACAGGGAAAGGGCGACCATGAAGAGACACGTGAAGGAGAACAACGCTGGGATAAACAGCGGCACCTGGAACACAGCACAGAAACACATCTCTTCAAACATAGTTCAAGAGACAGATGGTGGTTCAAGAGGAGAACGTCCGTCATGACACTGGGTGATACGCCATGGGCACACAACCCGGTGATGGGCAATGCCCCACTTTACCTTATTAGCAAAATCTCTTCAGTGGGCACAGAGAATGGATGTATTGGACAGACTCCCTTAAGTTCTTTTTTAAATCTTTGGATAGAATACAATCTAAGGATAAATAAGTGTGTTTCGTTAGAGATGTTCTGTTTGAATTCTTTTACCCATGGAGTACCACTGTGATTTCTGGTTTTGATTTTAAAAGGTGGGCTCTTTGGTAATTATGATTAGAATCCACCTTAATGTGGAGCCAAGGCCATGGGCTGCTAGTTACATGTTAAATCTTTTCAATGCATATTGATTTTCTGTTGGAGGTTCACAATATGAACCGACAGGAACAAAACAGGCCAACTCCTATTCAACCACTAATAAAGATGTTGCAGGCGTTAGGCAATGAATATATTTAGAAGCAAATCCTGACAACACATTTTCTGTGTTATTTCTTAAAAGCAAATAAACGGTGAGATCCAATCAATCTATGAACATTCGAGGCTGAAGGAGATGAGAAGCATATTCTTTGGCCCTTCCCAAAGGAAATGCTTAGTTATGGTAAATGTGCAGTCTAGTAAGTGGTAAATTCATACATCTTCGCTTTCCCTGTATATTTTACATTTTTAATCCTCTGGAGTGCACAATGTAGAAAAAGAGCAACAGAATAGGTGACAGCCCTTAAAGATACTTAAAACATCTATTTTGTAAAGCAGCACACTTAATAGAGTTTTCATTAGTGATGATTCCAGATTCCGTCTCACTCTTTCTCCACATGGCTGCCCACGACTATTCAGCATAAAAACAGATCAAAGTATCCCGTACTTTGGGACTTATCAGGTCATTGGGCACATCCACGAGAAATCAGCATAACAAACATCCTATATTAATAACACCTCTTTTCAAAAACGTGACATACTAAGTTCATTAAAAAAAAAATATTTTCCAACCTAACATCAACCCATCATGAAGGTGCTACCTGCAAGAGTTAAACATTTTATGGCAGAGGATGCTGCCCCCGCCACCGGCCCAAGCTCCCCATCATCAAGTTGTGACAAAGGGAGAAGTAGGTATGAAGAGAGAAAGATTTATGTAAACCCATCAAGATTGCTGAGGTTACCTTGAAAGGACGATGCATATCTGGGCGTTTGTATCGAAGATAAATCAGCCCGGCGACTGCTAGCCCAATAAAAAGCCACCTGGCAAAACTGAGGAAATTCAAAAGACTGTACAGGTCCCCGGAGAAGAGCATTATCATCGTCAGAGGGTGCTGGGGGGAGGGCAGAAAAGCCACACTCGGTGAGTTAAGGAGAACACAGGTGGTAACCAAAAATAACATTAGTACACATTACTGTTATCGTTTTCAAATAATTATTTATTCTGATAGACTGCCACTGTGATTAAAACCTGTGTTTGACTAACCTACTTTCTATACTCTGCTCTTCAAATCCCTTTACACACCAATAACAGAAGGAGAGGGTCATCGTCACTACCACTTCATTCTGCAAGAATTTTATACGGATGTTTGGCTGCTCTTACATCTGAGGGAAGAGACTGTTTTCATAGTCACACTCAATGACTCAAAGTGTACAGGTGCAGAGACTGAGATGATTAGTAAATACCTAATAATAACAATAAAAAGGGCACCGTATTGGAAAGTTGCAGCAAGCCCTGCTGATGGCGCTTGATGAGCTCTTGGCTATGCACACACATGAAACACAGCCACTTGGAGGGGACTCTGTTGTCCCCTGCATGCAAAACCTTGACCTTCCCTCTCTCCACTCTCACTCTCAAGACTGCAGAAAACAACGCAGCACAGACAGCAGCAGAGCACATCTGTGTGCGGTTGCACATGCCAAGGATAGCATGACTGATAGCAGAGGCTCAACACCAAAGCCCTCTTCATGGAATGAAACATTCTAGTCCCACAAGTGACTGTTAACTTCCAGGTTCCGTAGAGAGACTATGCATATTTCACAAAGAAATTTAAATGAAACAGTTTGAAACAAATTAAATGCACACGCAAAACAAAATTCAGTGAATTCAATAGTGCTCCTGACAACAGACTTCATTTGAGGAAAATGTTACAAAATGGTAGGTAAAAGTGAATGTAACATTCATTGCCAATGGGTATTTGAGGACTTTGACACCTTACACAGTCTTTCTGTCTGCCATGTTTCACAGATACTCTTCTGTGCATAAAGAATTCTACAGCTCAAGTTTTGGTGCTTTTATTTCTTCCCTATAGGGTTGCTCTCAAATGTCTCCCTTTTAATCACAGAATCACTGCACCATCTAGGATTTCATCTTTTTTTTTTTTCTATAATTTTGTGTGCACTTCATTATAAGGGGCCTATGATGAGACATCTGGGACATTGGGAACGTCGTTTTTAGCTCCACTCTCCATAATTAGAATTGGGACTTCCTACTCTGTGTCCTTTGCTGTGGGGCCCTGTGTCAAAGACAGGAGCCAAGCTAATCATTTTCCTTAGACCTCAAAAACTTCTACAAAGGCGAAAACAAAACAAAAAACATGATGCAGTTATTGCCCCCATAGCATCAAATATGCTTCAGAAATACTGAATGAGGGAAAGCTATGGAAAAAACATCCTGCCTCCCAAACTCCCCCGAGATACACATACAGCAGGTTTTGCATGGAATGAGAAAGGAAAGCACCGTCCAAAGTCTGCTCTGAAATCCTCTTTGCTAACCTGTTATTCGAGGTTATATCTAGACACACTGGTTAATAGGCATTACCAAAACAATAACAGCTGGCAGGGGAGTGTGCTTGCGGACGTGAATCATGGAGAGGATCTCTGGAAGGTGACCCTCTCGAGACGCAACATAGAATAACCTGATGGGAGAAAAATGTGGGTGGAGTTGACCGTATAATTGATTATTTCAAAGGGAAAAATCCAGAAATCTCAGAGAAAACATGCATCTTTTTCACACCAAGTGGTTTGACATTTCTTAGGTGCCTCCTTGGATTTCACTTTGCAGATACGGCAGAGAGCATCCTGAGAAACCTGGCTTAGGATTTTATAAAATCTGCCCACATGCTGTATTCTTCTTTGAGGAGAAGCAATAGCAACACCTGACTCAGCACAGCTCTCCCTACATATAAACAGCTGATGGTGAATTTAGTTCTAGGTTCCTAGCATTGTATGTGTGTTATCTATCCAATCCAACCCAACACACACACACACACGCACATGCACACGCACACACCTTCACACACACACAACACCTGCACATGTACACACACACAACACCTGCACATGTACACACATGCAGACACAAACGCACACACATACACGTGCACACAGCACCTGCACACATACGTACACATGCAGACACAAACACACATACACATACACATGCACACACACACACACACACACACACACACACACACACACACACTCTGTGAAAAATGAATACAGGAAGCCTCAATTAAAATGGAGTTGGGAAGGCCTGAGGGAGAGTTCTCAGGCATTATCTCTTGTCATCCCTCACAGATCTCAACAGGAAGAAGCTTTCTTAACTCTGCCCCCAGGAGAAAAGACATTTCCTCCTTGCCTAGCAACAATCCCCAGCTCGCACTGTCCTCCAAAGGCCTTTCATTCAGAACCACCCCTCCCAACTCCCTCCTGTCCTCTATAAGAGTAAGCCTCTCTCCTTTGTTCTCAGGACTTGTCTCTGGCTTCTCCATAGACTGCATGTCTGAACTGCAATTTCTCTGTTATTCCCAAATAAACTCATTTTTCTGATAAACAACCGGCTACTTCATTTTTAAGGATGACAATGCACATAACATTCATATTTATTGGACTGGGTTTTAACCTTATATTAAAACAAAAGGAACTTTTGCATCAAACAAAACAAAAGGGATACAGGTGGTGGGGTGGTGATTTCTTACTTTACTTTTTTTCTTGTCACCTTTAGAGAAACAAAAGATTTTTATCACCAGAAATAAAATGCTGTTGCTAGACTCTGTAGACAAACTGTAAAAAAAAGCCACAGGTCCAGCTTCAGACTACAGGATGAGTAGAGGAGCAGTGCCCTCTACTGGGCAGAATAAGATATGCTATTGATACTTGGACAAAGACTTCACTCTTGTATGTCCCTTTAAAAACAACAGATTTGGAGGCATTATTTCTTTTTAAAGTTATCCCTATCACATCAAATCTCAAAAATAGAAATGCATTTCTGGAAATGCTTGAACTCACTCACCTGGAGACAGCAAATACACCACCATTCATGGAGCCAAAACAGGAGAGGGCAACAAAGATCGGAACTGCTAATGAGAAATTTCCCAGTAGCCGCTCAGAAAAGGTCTAGTGAGAGAGAGAATGAAGCAAATTAATGCTTTGCCATAAAGTGGAATACATTGAAAGAGTTTAGGCCGAACTTGCTCTGTGGCTTTCTATTAGCCTGGTGCTACGTGTATGTTTTATCACCCTTCCCTTGGGTTAGGGTCAGAATAACTCCGTAGACAATAATCAGAATTAGGTACCATGGCATTCATTGCTGCAAAACCATGCACAAAGGTTTAAACAAGCACCTTCCCTCTACTTTCAAAAAGCAATGATCTATTTGCTGAATCTTTATCAACTAGGGCAAAAGTCTTCTATCATTCTGGTAAATGGAAAAAGCTCACTTCAGCTCTTCTCCTTTTGGAGACACAAATCATTCTACACAGTACCTTCTCTTGAGCCTGGAAAGCCACATTTTGATAGTGAAGTACAAATGTACGCCAAGAAGTATTACAGGTACTTGTTTCGTATTTCATTCCCAATGTTATGACATGAAAGTGCGGTGAAAAAAAAAATAGATGACTTAATCACTGATATCATATCTATGAGCCGTTCTGAAACTCTTTTGCCCAGAATATTCACATCAGCTGAATCTGTTTATTGAATCACTCCCTGCATCTCAGATATCTGGCAATTTCCTCTACGGTTTCCTATAAAAAGACTAGACTAGGAATACAAGTCCAAGGAAATCAAACCACCGTAAACACAAAAGATAAACAAAACTTCTGAAATTTCCTTTTATGCAATGGCATAAAGGACACATTTAAAAAAAAAAAAGTGGGATTCTTAGTTGTCCTTGATGCAGCGGGTGCTGTGTAATTAATGGACCACATTACGCCCAACGAGTAAGTGTTGGCCTTTGTCTAGTAAGATGAGATATCTGACCCGACATCAGTAAGCTTTGTACATCTGGATGTCTGGTAGAACTTACAGCAGTGGGTGAAGTCTTTTTTTAATACTGTGAACATGAAATGAGATCATTTCTTCCCTGTGGATGCTGCTGATAGGAGGAAATAATGACTATTTTAAAAGGCGCTGACATCTAGTGATGGGAAGTTATTTTTTCACCTTTCATTGTTATGAGGTCATGAATGAATGCTCTCTTGCTAGCTAAGTTTTTATACAAAATGAAAGTATGCATCGCAGAATAACAGTCCCATAACAGGACTACTCAGAGCAAAGATGGTCCTGAAGTCTAATCAATTTTGGGAAATGTTTAAAAATTATGAGTATTCATGTCTTAGGGAGTTAAAATGCACATTAGTATCTTTACTATCCTAGAACTACTATAGCAATGACATTTGTTTACTTTTGAAAAACTCAGCATTTCCCAAAATTAATAATATCCTTTGACTAGTATTCCAAAGGATATATGAGAAAAAACAAACATATATGGTCCACCTGGAAATCTTGAAGTGGTACTTAGGGGAAAATATTTTAAGTGAGCATTTGAAAAGTTTACAAACAAGGAAGAGTACAGAATTGCAATTTGCCTATCACAAAAAAAAATGAATTCATTTAAATTCAGGAACTGCCCACCTGTCTTTAAAGACAGGTTGGAAGAATAACACCTTCTTTTTTCAACATGTATATGTGGAAATGTATTACATGAAATTAACACTACAGAGAAATCATATAGGATTTTAGCTATATCAGTTAAATGCAATATGCTAAGGCGTGTTCTAAATGTTTAAAATACTCATTATCATTCAGGTCGAGAAAAGATTACTGAATTTCACAATGCTTTCTGCTGCGGGAACTACTATGAAATTGCATCAACTCATTAACCTACATTCAAGTTGGCATCTCCCCACCTTGGACTTACCACTGCCACTGCATCTGAAAGCAAGAGCTCCTCACCACTAATGGTCGTAAAGTAGGCCACATTGGTGAGCACGTAGCCGATGGTGACGATGGCCATGGAAATGCATATGGCGAGGGGGATGGTTCTGAAATGCACCAGGGAATTGCTTGTTAGTCACCTTTTGTTAGTCATTCTCTGAGACCAAAGAAGATAATAGGCTGATTCAAACAAAAACGTTAAATGGTATGTATGAAAATTATAGGTTCTGTTGGGTATCTGTAAACATTTCATTGGGGTGAAGCACCATATTTTCCTTTTTAATGGCATAAGGTCCACAGGGGCGGACATTTCAGTTGTCTTGTCTGCTCGACCCCCAGAACAGATGGGTCCATCCCATTCTCCTACTCCACAAATGCTATAGCACTCTTTCTCTCACTGGATCATGTATCCCCTGGAAGGCTTGTGAAAACACAGATTGCTGAGCTCATCTCGGAGTTTCTGATTTGGTAGGCTTTGCATTTCTAGCCAGTTCCTGGGAACTTCTGATGCTGCTGGCCAGGGGACCACACTTTGAGAACCATTGTCTTCAATACCTTTTTGATACTAATTCACTGCCTTGATACCTTTCCGATACTAGTCCCCAAAAAGGTCTTTCACACTCAGGGTATTTTCCCCTTCAGTAGCTTCCCTTACCAGCAAATAAGTGTACATGTTTGGAAGCACGAGAGCAGGATACATCTTTCTACATGATGGTAATAATAATTTTGTATCTAACACAAAAAGCACAGAAATGCTCCCCAAAATGACTTTGCACTGGCCTGCTGTGAGTTCAAAGGAGGCTGGAGATCATGAGTATCTATGAAAGCAGCAGTGCAGATAATCCCTGAAATTAGAGGTGACGTGCTGTGAAGTGCATATGACCAGACAGTGCTGACACCATGTGGCATCAGAGGTACCCGGCACAAAGGCAATGTTACGTCTTCATTTAATGCACTGGGGAAACCAGGAAGTTACTGACCCTAATAATTTGATTCCATGTTACCGATACACATTACTTACTTAACATAATCACCTCTTCAGACTCTTTCCAGTTCAAGCAACTTAAACTTTCAGCTCCCTGCATAAAGGCTGATGGGTTTTTTAGCCATAGAGCTTATCAGCCCTTATGCAGTCTTAACCCTGCTGGGTGCCGCTAATGAAGACTTCAATATAATTTCTTCCAAGATGAGAATACAGTTCAGAACCAGGAAAAAGGTTGGGGGGGAGGGGGGGTGCACCGCCTGCCTCAACCCCCAATCTGGGCATGTTTAGCACACTAAGTCCCAGCTCATTATGCCGAACAGCACCATCCCCTGTGGAGAACAGGCCAACCTAGCCAGTCAGCAACTGCCATTCATTATGCTGCTTGGAGCCTGGCGCTCCCCTGATCCCCAAAGCCTTAAGCCTTGATGGGGAAACACATTGACCTCTAAATCCTGGCATCCTAACAGGAAAGGAGCAGGTGTTGCCTTTCCCCAGGATGCAGAGGGTCCTGTGGAATTTTCTGCTAACACCATAACATGCATTGCTAGTTGTGATTGATAAATGCTAAATTTAAGCAAAGGAAATCACTGGGCCAGTTAATTACAAAGGAGGGGATGGTACAGGGCACATTAAAGATGGGTGTGTTTATTTGAAAGCAGGGATATATGGCAACGCAAAGGGGTAAGAAGGTGAACGTGAAGGTCTATATGCAGCTTTTCAAACACCCACTGTCTTATTTTACACTTGACCCTTTCAGCTTTATAATATCTCCAAATAGGGTGTTAAGTTCGTTCTGTGGAGGAGAGAAGCAGAGAGGGAGAGAGAGAAATACTCTATTCCTTGCAAGAATAGTATAAAGGAATGAAATTAAGAAATGGTTAAGAAATGAAAATGCTCTGGTAATAAAACGTGAGGTGACTTATTGTTAAGTGCTGTGAAGTAACCTAACCTGTCCGGGACAGGTAGTCCTGTCACATCATGTGATGCTGACAAATAGCAGAAAATAGTAAGTCTCAAATTTGGGCTGTGATGCGCTCAGCACAGAATCTAGAATCCCAGCCTGACTCTACCAAGCCCACCTCCTGGTCTATTTCCTGTTTGGAGATCATGGTCCTTCTGAGGAAGGTTTTTCTAAATTGATCTAAGCAGAAAGAATCCTTAAAAACAAACAAACAAAAAATCTAACCTCCTAGGTTAGTTTCTTTTTTCCTCTCAGTATGTCAATAAGAAAAACAACAGCAGCAGCTGCTGCCATTTATGTGGTGTCTGCTATGTGCCCAACATTTTATTAGGCATTTTACACATTGGCCTCGCTTTCTCCTTGAAAATCCTGCAAGTTGGAAACATCATCTCCATTTTCCATATGAGGACATGGAGTCTTGGAGTTTAAATCACTGTTCAAGGATACACAGCTGGACGTGGAAACGCAGGGTTCAGCGGGCTCCCTCTACCTTGAAGCCCAAGCATTTGAGCCCCTGAAGTGTACCCTCTCTCTTCTGCACGTGGGTCCTCAAACTCTGTGTGATTTTCAGAGAAATCGTAACTGCTAAATATAATGTTGAATGGAGAGCTCTTATCAAACCTGTATTTCTCATGTAGTCACTAAAAATGCAGTTTCATCTACTATAAAGGAGGGGGGGGAAACCTTATTTCATGAATTTTATAGTTTTCCTGTGTAACATGAACTGTAATGTATAGTTTTACTATTTAGGAAGCAGGGTTTTTTTGTGTTTTTTTTTTTTTTTAAGACAGCAGAGGCTGACTTAATTTCCCTAGACAACTTTTGTAGACAAGGAGGAAACATAAGCATGTTTGTCAGATAAACTGAACTAGAATATTAACAATTTTGCCATCAGCCAAATACACTATATAGATATTAAAGGGGAAAAATCAAAGGAGCTTAAAATATAGGACAGGAGAGAGAGAGTCTGACCTTGACGCAATTCATAACACGCCAGAATTTCCTCTCTATGCAAAATTAAGCCCTGGGAATTAGGGGGGGTGTGGCAAAGTAGCCACTATCTTCTGTCCCGAGGTTCTATTTCACTTTGACAAAGGGAAGGAGGAGAGGGGTTCCCACGGCTGCCTTGAGATAAACAGCACTCATTTGCTCAGGAAAGCGGCTGACTTGTTCAGAAGGGCTTGGCACCAGGTGGTTAACTCCTGGGTTTCCAGCATCAAAGCTTAAGGGCCACTGGGTGAGCTGATAAAAGCTATTAGGCCATGCCAGAGCAATCTTTCTGAAGGCTTTAGATGCAGAGGGCAGATAGGCATGGTTAGCAACCCAAGATTAAAGCGAATGGCACACGATAATGAAAGGAATTAAAGGAACTGGTAGGCCACTGATATTTCAAAGCCTCACAAAGCAATTGTGAGGTATCCACTGATTCTAAGTACAACTGAAGCATTGTCTAGAAGCTGAATAAAATGACTCACATCTATGCTTTCTCAAATATTTGTGCATGTTTGTTATGATCAATAAAATGCAAACCTATTGAAAAGAGTTACTTAATCCTTAAGAGATTTTTGTCATTATGTATAGACTTTTCAAATCACAGGCATCAAGTATGTGAGAATCTGATGTTTTTATTAGTTGCAGCAGATGGTCTTCAATCAAAGGTCTTGGGTAGTTTTCTTTTCTTGTGGGTTTATTTTAAATTGGCATCTATAACCAGCCTATGTCACACATGAATCAATATTTGTTTCATTTTAAATTACTAAATGGAAGTCTCTAGAACACCTGCTTAGAAGCACTTTCATTCTAAGGGACAAACCTCCCCAGGAATCCCACTAGCCCCAACAGTAATGGCTTGTACTTTAGATTTGTACAGTGCAAATACATTTTATCTTCAAATATACATGTTATTTCAAATCCTTTGTGGAATGAGCTAGAGTATGAATAATTAACAAACAAAATTCACAACAACCCATTGAAACTGGAGGTAATATTCCCATTTTGAAACAAGGGAACCAAGGCTCAGAGGGGTTAAGTGACATGGTCAAGGTCAAAAGCAGTAAATAGAAAGACTAGAACTTGTACCTAGCTCTTCCAGCTCTACGCTCCACATCCATGATCTATCTTATCATATCATGGCCGCTTTGTGCCTACCTTAACTCTAAGTACGAGGTCCCTAGGATCCTTACATGCTGACAAATATGTGTTATAGTTTATACAAGTGACAAAAATATCAGAAGGCTGATTGTTACAACGTGACATATTTTAAGCCAAGTACTTTTTTTCTATGCAGCTAACCGTCATCACAAATACACTTGCCAATAATGCAGCATGGGTTGCATTTTTTAAAATATACTTTGCAACCATAATAGAGCATCAGAAATAACTCTTGTTTCCACTGCTTCGTATTGGCTAAAAAGACTTGCTGTGAAAACCGCATGAGTAAACCGAGCTTGATTCTCCAGAGAGTTGAACACACCTGAAGGTTACAGGGATTTCTGATATGCAGACCATATGAGTAATTCTGTAATTGCTTAAATTTAGGATATTACTAAAAATTGTTTCATAACTTGAAAATAAAATCTCCTGAACCAAAATAAGTTTACAATCCCCAGAGTTGAATACACACAATGGCGACCACAGAACTCGTTGATCCTGGGGCATCAAAAACTGTCTTTGAGCCCTGGGGCTGGGAATGATGCAGTTCTGTTAAAACCTACTCTTATGTGTTCCGGAATCTTTTGAGAGAAGTGATTGATGCTTCACATTTTCTATTTAAAAACCATTAATATTTTAACACATGTATTTGGCATTCAGGAAAAAGCAAGAAGGAATAAAAGCAGGGATTAAGAAGGGCAAGAAAATGGCAAACTTCTTAATATGTGAGATACGAAAAAAAAAAAAAAGGAAAACAGGGTTTTTTGGTGTTTTTTAATTGTTAGTAAACTAGGGACTATTTGTTTATATATAATTGAATAACTGTGATTCATTTCCACAGAAAGTATTTAAAATTATAACAAGTATCTTTTGATTCCAAGTATTTATTTTAGGATCGCACTTATTTCACATTTTCATTATAATGACCCCATAGAGACCTCGGAAGCTTTTCTGTAGATCTGACCCAGAAATTACTTCAGCATCTCTTACATCTCTTTATGATCTACATT